TGATGCCTGGTACGAAAAAAAGGATGAGCAGAGCACAATTTATTTTATTCGGTAGTTTGAAGTGTTTGAAATGGGAATAATATTATGTTATGATGATGAAAATTGCTTACTATCTTGCTGCATTTCAAGTGAGGGCAGTAGAATTGGTCGATGATAACCGGGTTATTAGCTTCTACGAAGGTTATGTCCGAGAAGACTATATTCTTGGCGAATCCCGAACTACCCTACAAAAAAAAGAAAAAGAAAATTCACCGTTTGTAATTTGATTCGTGATCAGTCGGGCTTTCGAGTTTTTTTTTTCTATTTTTTTTTACCTGCCATGTCTTGATCCTCACACCATTTTGTGTTCTTCTAAAAATGCAGTTAGATATGTTTATTCTTTGTACTTCTTCGTGAAGTCCGTTTTTCCCTAAACTCCCGATGCTGTCGAAAAGAAAGAAAAAAAAAAAGTAATTTTCGAGGATAAATTAAAACATGTTTGCAAGCAACGGCTCTGCAGTTAAGTGGGTTTAGATTTCCTGTTCCACTTTCTTGTTCCATTTCGTGTTCCAGCCCGTTGGATGAATGACACGTGTACAAATATGACATCATCATTTACACGTGTCATTCATTCAACAGAGTAGAACGTAATGGAACATGAAAAGTGGAGTAGGAGATCTCATTCTGTAGTTAAGAAAGAGATACATACCTTATTCCGTGTCTCGGACCACATGCTATGTTTTTTATTTGGACATTCGAAGTGCCACCGTTAATGGCAATGCAGTCGTCCCCTTCACGACATTTCATATTAGTTGTAAAAAGGTAAAAAATTAAAAAAAAAAATAATAATTGACGAGTCGTAAAAGTATGAGTTACCGGTTGCCATGACACAATTGAGAATGTCGAGGTTTGTTGAGGCGCTTATGTCGATTCCATCCGTGTTGGGGCTCGTCTGAGGGGCTCTAATGTCGAGACCCGAGATTCTTGCATAGTCGCACTCGTTTAGCGAAATGTGGTTCCTTTGGCTGTTGATGTATTTCAATCCTCTAACTTGGAGTTTCTTGCATCGCGAAAATCGCATTGCCTTGACCGAGATGTCATACTACTACCGTAAGTTTTTTCCCTTTTGGTCGAATAACTGAAAATTGAAATCACTCACCGTTGGCCGTGATGAACTCCCTTTCACCTGAAAGGATATAATATCGACCGATGAAAATGTTTGTTTCGAGTGAATGTCAAAGCATAGGTGAGGTGAATTGAATGTTATTACATATTGTAATCGAACTCACTTTGTCCCACCACGTTTGTCCTGAGCCGTCGATTAGGCCTACTCGGTTTCCATCGACCGTGAGCCCGTCAATGCCGATAAAGTTGAGCCACTCTGTTTCTTTTTTTTCTCCATGCTGATTTTGGAGGGGCAATAATGTGTCCTAATATCTAATTTTTAGAAAGTAAATGATTTTAGTATATATGAACAATATATAGTTAAATTACATTTCATTTGTTTTATATTAGTTAAATACCTGAAAAGTAATGGAGGAGGATTTGCATGGGCCTTCAAATTTGACTGCATCAATCAAGAAGACTTTGCCTGGAGGCACTGTTATCTGCACATTATCTGCTTCTTTTGCACAAGTTGCATTCCATGCTGACTGAAAAGCCTGTTGAAATTTTTATTTTCTTATTTAATTTAATTTGCGGGAAATAAAATTAATGTACATTACAATCATTATATATAAGAACAAATATTGGAGAATAATATTTAGTTAAAGTTATATATATAAGAACAAATGATTTACTCTAGTGTCATATGTCTTTCCATCGCCAATGGCTCCGAACTTTGTGACGTCGAAGTTTAGCAAAGTCTCGGTCGAGTTATTTGGATACTTTTTCGGATGAATCGAACCTTGGTTTGCTCCCGCGAAAGCCCCCAATAAAATCAATACTACTGCAAAACTCTCATGCACTAATTAAACTGTTGATGTCATATTATATTAGTATATGTTTTCTCTTTTATACCCTTAGTAAGTTAGTTTCTTGTAGAGCAAGTTTGTGTACTCTTGTAACCATAATTGGTTTTATATATTAATGTGAGAGCCGTATACGAGATCATCAGATTGATGTCTCGATCAATATCTTTCTTCCTCTTTCTGCTTTATCATGGTATCTAGAGCAGGTTAAATTTTTAAGATTTTGTTTTCTCTTCTCTCGTTCTCCTGCCATGGCCAGTACAAGCACCAGTGAGACTACTACCAGAAAAACAATCTCCCCCTACGATATTACTTCCAGCGACAACCCTGGCCTTTTGATTACTCTAATTCAATTAAAAGGAGATACAAATTATGAAGAATGGTCTCGTAGTATACGCACTGCTCTTCGTGCACGAAAGAAGTTCGGATTTTTGGATGGTTCGATCGCGCGTCCGTCTGCCAACGACGAGTTGTTTGAGGATTGGCAAGCCAACAACTCTCTTTTGCTATCCTGGCTTGTGAACAGCATCGACACCACGCTTCGATCTTCAGTAGTGGAACCGGATTATGTCGAGGACCTCTGGTCTTCCTTGAAGGAGTGATTCACGCTGAACAATGGTCCCCGAATTCAGCAACTCAAATCCGATCTTGCGTCTTGTAAATAGAAGGGCATGAGTGTTGAAGCCTACTACGGAAAGATTTCAAAATTTTGGGAAGAATTGGCTGATTACGATAAACCTCCAATGTGCAGTTGTGGTCTCTGTAAATGCAATTTGCCGGCTGCGTGGAACCGTAAACAAGAAACCGAGAGAGTCCATCAATTTCTCAAGGGATTGGATCCGACTCTCTATGGTCCCACTCGTTCACATCTCCTGGCACAAGATCCTCTGCCGACATTGAATCGTGTGTATTCCACTTGCATTCAAGAAGAACGCATGTGCACCATCTCCATTGCAGAAGACGATCTTGCACAAGAGGTCTCATGTAAAATACCTTCACGACGAAAATAGTCAGTCATTCAGTACCATTGTCACTGCGAACCACTCGCACCAATGCTGCCCAGCCTGCTTCATCATCATCCTCAGGTATCTTTTATCCTATCACACATTATGTTAATTGTGATTCTTTCTCATCGGCCCATAAGTCATTTTTGGCAGCTCTCGCTTCCGAGGTTGAGCCTCGTACCTTTGCTGAGGCAGCTTCTGATAGACGATGGCTTACGGCTATGCAGAATGAAGTCCAGGCTCTCGAAAATAATGGTACTTGGGAAGTGGTTTCCCTTTCTCCCGGGAAACGTGCTATTGGTTGTAAGTGGATTTACAAAATTAAATATCGATCTGATGGTTCTGTTGAGCTCTACAAAGCGCGACTTGTGATTTTAGGTAACAATCAGGTCGAAGGCATTGATTATCATTAGACCTTTGCTCCTGTTGCCAAAATGGTTACCATGAGAACCTTTTTAGCGGTCGCCGCAGCCCGGCGATGGGAAGTTCATCAGATGGATGTTCACAATGCCTTCCTTCATGGTGATTTAGCTGAGGAGGTCTACATGAAGCTCCCTCCTGGGTTTCGTTCTGGTGATGATGGACGGGTATGTCGCTTGCGTCGCTCTTTGGACGGTTTGAAACAGGCTCCACGTTGCTGGTTTGCGAAACTAGCGACTTCTCTCCGTCAGTATGGTTTTTCTCAGTCGCATTCTGATTACTCCTTGTTTACCTTGCATCGTGGTTCTGTGCAGTTGCAAGTGTTGGTGTATGTTGATGATCTTATTGTCTCTGGTAATGATCCTACGTCCATTGTGGCCTTTAAGAGTTACTTGAGCCGCTGTTTTTACATGAAGGATTTGGGCCTCTTGAAGTATTTTTTGGGCATTGAGGTGGCTCGTAACACATCTGGCATTTTTCTATGTCAGCGGAAATATGCTTTGGACATCATTTCTGAGG